AACTCCCTCAGAGCAAGGATGAGGCCCCACAGTGTCCCATTCCAGAGCAGGGAATCGCTGTCCCCGTGGTCACCTCCACTGGGGACACGTCCCCTCTGCTGTCCCTGCGGTCACCTCCACTGGGGACACGTCCCCCTCTGACTCACCGGCCCGCAGGCTTTTAATTAGCCGGGCTGCTTTTAATTAGCCGGGCTGCTTTTAGCGTCCTTCCTCTTGGGGAGCGGCCGCAGGGCCGGGGATTCCCACTCGGCTCAGCCTCCTGCTGTCCCAGGGGCATTTTCCTGGACACCATCCTGCCCAAGTACGACGTGAACGGCGTCCGGCCGGCCATCGGGCAGAGGACACGGCTCAGCAAAGGGGACATCGCCCAGGCCCGCAAGCTCTACCGCTGCCCAGGTGAGTGACCCCTGCCCAGGTGACCGTTCCCTGCCCAGGGGAGTGTCCCCTGCCCGGTCACTGCCAGAGGGGAGCACGCCCAGGGCTGTATCTCTCAGGAAACCGCTCTGCTTCGCCCCAAAACTCGCCAAAGGCGGCGTCGGCCTGGGTGGATTCTCTGTTTCCAGTTGATTTTTGGGGTCCTCCCCGCCCTGTGAGGAGCACACAAGGTGCCTTTTGCCATCCGTGGCACTTTTTGGGGGGGTTGTGAGCAGAATTTGGATGCAAGAGCTCAGTGAGGCCCAGGGCTCTGCCCATGAGAGCAGAGGTGTCCTCGGCTGCCCTCTCCTGCTGCTCCTCTGAGAAAAGTACATCTCACCAGAGCATTCCCCTAAAAAAATCCCCCAGGGAGCATCTCCCTCAAAAAAATCCTCAAAAGATTGTCCCACCCAGAGCATCCTCCTCAAAAAAATCCTCAAAAGAAGAGCATCTCCCCCCAGAGCATCCTCCAAGAGAATCCCTCCAAGAGCATCCCTCCAAAAAATCCTCTCTAGTCCGTCCTCCAAGAGCATCCCTCAAAAGAGCATCTCCCAAAAGCACCCCCAAAGAGCATCCCCCCCTAAAAAAAAATTCCCCAAAGGGTGATTCCCCTGAAGAGAATCCTCCAGGAACGTCCCCCAAGAGCATCCCCCAAAAAATCCTTGGAAGAGCTTCTGCCCCCCAGAGCATCCCCCCCAAGAGCATCCTCCAAGAGAAGAGCATCCCCCCAGAGAATCTTCCAAGATCATCCCCCCCCAAAAATCATCCTCCAAAAGGCACCTCTCCAAAAAAATCCTCCAAAGAGCACCTCCTCCCAAAAAAATCCTCCAAAGAGAAGAGCATTCCCCCTCCCAAAAAAATCCCCCTGAGGGCATCCCTGAAGAGCAGAGCGCCCCCTGAGAGCACCCCCTGACCACGCAGCACCCTCTGGGAGCAAACCCTCCTCGGAGACCCTCCTCCATCCCACCCCGGCATCCTGGTGGGGTGGGGACCCGCACTGGTCCACCCCTTGAGGGCCGGGGGCACGACCGACCGGCACAAGGCGTTGGCACCTTGAGGGGCACCATCGCCCCGGGCACGGTGGGGAGGGGGCTGGCATGAGTGCCCCCCCCCCCCGGCGACAGGCACGTGCTCCGGGGGCCGGGCGCTGGCAAACAAACGCATCTGCGAGGGAGTTTGGCTCCCCGCACGCGCTCCCGGCTTTTAATTCCAGCGGCTTAATTAGCGGCCCCGTGGAAGAGAGGGACGCCTTTGTGAGGGGCCCCACGGCCGCCCTCGGGGGGCTACGGGGGGAGGAGGGGGGGGGGAAAGCAGGAAAAGCGATTAGTTTGGAGCGAGGAAAAAGAAAAAAAAAAAAAAGGAAACCTCCCCAAAATGCTCTCTCTGGATCTCTTTTGTTTTCCACTGTAAAGAAAGGAGAGGAGGGGGGAAAAAAAGGCAGCGAGCCCGGGTTTGAAACGGCCCTTTTTTCGCACCGTTTCACCTTTCAGCGACGGGAGGGGAGGTCGGGGAGGGGGGGGAGGCTGCCTTGGCCCCTGCAAAGCTCCGTGTGCCGCTTCCCCGGCATCATGTGGCTCCCAGATGGCAGCGCTGGGCCGGCTCCAGCCGCGCCTGCTTTTGGGAAACCTGCCCCGAGCCCGGGCGTGGAGCCGGGGCCGGGACACGGAGGGAGGACCGGGATGGCTCCTGTGGTGAACACGGGGCTGGGAGGGCTGCCGGGAGCCCCGGAGGTTTCGGGGATGCACCGGAGAGGTGCTGATGGGGAGGTTTTTTGAGTCCTCAGGGCTGGGAATTTGAATGGGAAAGGGGCACAGCGGAGCTGGGGGGCTTCCCCGGGGGTCTGACTTTCACTTTTTCTCCTTCATAGCCTGCGGGGAGACACTCCAGGACAGCCAGGGCAACTTCTCCTCGCCGGAATTCCCCAATGGATACTCTGCCCACATGCACTGCGTCTGGAGGATCTCTGTCACCCCCGGAGAGAAGGTACCGCCTCCCACCTCCTCCCAGCCCTCCTCTCCCTCCTCCCCACATCTCCCACCCTTTTTTTCCGGTGTCCCTAATCCCAGCATCCCTCTGTGGGCCGGGATGCTCCGGGCAGAGCAGGTCCGGGGGCTCCCGCCGGCTCCCAGCAGAGGGGGCACGGGGGGTGGGCTCACCCCACGCTCTTCCTGCTCCTTCCCAACTTCAGATCATCCTGAATTTCACCACCCTGGACCTGTACCGAAGCCGGCTGTGCTGGTACGACTACGTGGAGGTGAGAGACGGGTTCTGGAGAAAGGCCACGCTGCGAGGTAACAACCCGGGGCCTCCCGCCCGCTCCTCCTGCCCACCGGGAACGCTCCAGCACCGGGACCAGGGGCTCCCCTCGGCCCCTATCCCTGCCTGCCTGATGCTCCAGAGTCCTGGGGTGGGGAGAACTAACCCCCAGAGGGGTTACTGGGGTGAACGGAGCTCCCAGTTTGGCCCCCACACCAGTGAAACCAGTCTGGGTGATCCAGCTGGCTGGCACAGCTCTGCCCAGGGAGATGCCAGGATCCCAGTCCCATCCCCATGAGCTGGATGTTCCCCAGGGAGATTCCAGTATCCCAGTCCCATCCCCGTGAGCTGGATGTTCCCTGGGGAGATTCCAGGATCCCAGTCCCATCCCTATGAGCTGGATGTTCCCCAGGGAGATTCCAGGATCCTGGTCCCGTCCCCATCATGTTCCCAAGAGTTGCCAGTATCCCAGTCCCATTCCCATGATATTCCCCAGGGAGATTCCAAGGTCCCAGTCGCATCCCCATGAGCTGGATGTTCCCCAAATCCCAGCTGACCCTGGAACAACCAGTTGAAGTGAAACTACCAGAAAAGCTGGAGAGGGAGAAGCAGCGCTTTGGCTTTAGGCTGGGAAGGGGCACGGGGGGCACCAGGAGGGGATGGCTGGGAGGAAGAGGAGGTGGTGGTGAGGAAGAGGAGGGTTCCTGGCCAGCAGAAGCCCAGCACGCCTTCCTCCCCAGGCAGGTTCTGCGGGAACAAGCTGCCCGAGCCCATCATCTCCACCGACAGCCGCCTCTGGGTCGAGTTCCGGAGCAGCAGCAACTGGGTGGGCAAAGGATTCTTCGCTGTCTACGAAGGTAGGGGGGAGCAGGGGGGACCAGGGGGTCAGTGAGGGGGCGAGGGGGGGCTCAGGATGCTGCTCCTCCCTTCCAGCCATCTGTGGGGGGGACGTGAAGAAGGACAACGGGCACATCCAGTCCCCCAACTACCCCGACGACTATCGGCCCAGCAAGGTGTGCGTCTGGAAAATCACCGTCTCTGAGGGCTTCCACGTGGGATTGACCTTCCAGTCCTTCGAGGTGGGTCACCATTCCCCCCCAGACCGGGACGGGGAGGTCTCCCCAACCCGGTGCTCCCCCCAGGACTGGCCAGGGGCTGCCTTTCCTGGCTCCACATCCCCCCGTGCTGCCTCCTTGCCTCAGTTTCCCCGCGCAGCTCCTTCCCTCGGCCCGTGGGCAGCGGGGAGGGTTCGGGGGGGGGGGGGTGCTGGGGCCGAGACCCTCCCCCTACCTAACACTCCTCCCACCAGATCGAGCGGCACGACAGCTGTGCCTACGACTACCTGGAGATCCGGGATGGCAGCACTGAGTCGAGCAGCCTCATCGGCCGCTACTGCGGCTACGACAAGCCCGACGACATCAAGAGCACCTCCAACAAGCTCTGGATGAAATTCGTCTCCGATGGCTCCATCAACAAGGCGGGTTTTGCTGTCAACTTCTTCAAAGGTGCAGGGGACGCTCCTGGGGGGGTCACTGGGAGGGGTCGTGGCCCCTTTTCCCGCTCATCCCTCCCTGCCCTGCCCAGAGATGGACGAGTGCTCCCGGCCCAACAACGGCGGCTGCGAGCAGCGCTGCGTCAACACCCTGGGCAGCTACAAGTGTGCCTGTGACCCTGGCTACGAGCTGGCAACCGACAAGCGCCGCTGCGAGGGTGAGTGGCCCCCCTAAAACACCCCCCCCCCCCCCCCCCGATGCCCCTTGCAGCGTCCCTAACCCCGCGGAGCCCGGGGAGGTGACGGGCGCCGGGTGCCTCCCGCCCTGCAGCCGCCTGCGGAGGTTTCCTCACCAAGCTCAACGGCTCCATCACCAGCCCGGGGTGGCCCAAGGAATACCCCCCCAACAAGAACTGCATCTGGCAGCTGGTGGCCCCCACCCAGTACCGCATCTCCCTCCAGTTCGACTTCTTCGAGACCGAGGGCAACGACGTGAGTCGGCGGCGGGCGCTGCTGGGGAACCACCCCCGGGGTGGCACTGCTGTGTCCCCAGCCCCGTGTTCCACACCTGTGCTGCCCTCCCAGGGCGTGCAGACGCAGCTTTGTACCCCCCCAGGGTGGGCAAACGTGGCTTTGTGCCCCCCCAGGTGTGCAAGTACGACTTCGTGGAGGTGCGCAGCGGGCTGACGGCCGACTCCAAACTGCACGGCAAGTTCTGCGGCGCCGAGAAGCCCGACGTGATCACCTCGCAGTACAACAACATGAGGATCGAGTTCAAGTCCGACAACACCGTCTCCAAAAAGGGCTTCAAAGCCCATTTCTTCTCAGGTAGAGCTGCCTGGCCCCGGCACGGGTGTCCCATGCCCTCCCTCACCCCGCAGACCCTCCCCGTGCCCTCAAACCGCCGCTAACGCTCCCCTCACCCGCGCTGGGGGTGCAGCCCCCCGGTCCCAGCCCGGTGGTGGGGTGACCCCTGTGGGGTCTGAACCCTCCCAGACTCGCCAGCCTGCCTGGCAGCACATTTTGGGAGGATTCCCCCTCTTTTTGGGGGGATAATTGGGTCCTAGTTTGGCGGTGGGGGTGCTCTTGGGAGGCCCCCAGATTTCCATGGGGTGCTGGGGGCCAACTGGGGACAGGGATGTGCTGGGCCCTGGGTGCTGCACCCCTCGGGTGGCACTGCTGGGGTGGGGGGGACGGTGACACCCCGCTCTGCTGCGCTGCTGCTCCCTGCTATGCTGCACGGCACCGGCTTCCTCCGCTCCCCGGGATCAGCATCCAGCCACCTCTCAGCCCTCCGGGGCAATTCCCTCCTCCCAAAAACCTGCCTATCCCTGTCTGCTCCAAGGTCCGCCCTCCTCTCCCGGGCCACCCCTCCAGGAGGTGGTGTCACCTTTGGATGGGTCTCAGGGGGGTAGGGACGGGCACCTGGAATATAACGCTGGATGCAGCCGAGCATCACCCAGGGCTGGACCCCGGGGCTGCCACGGGGCCCTCGTGCAAGAGAGGGTTCTCTCGGTGTGGCACAGTGCCCTGGACACCATCCTGGCCGTGAGCGACTGGCAGCACCTCCCAGACCCCTCCTGCTGCATTTTGGCCCTGTCAAGACCGTTTTTGTGGGGCATTGTGGCCACCTGGCTGCGGGAGCAGCGGGACCGGCATCCCCTGGAGTCCCTGGAGCTCCCCGGAGCGGGGGTCGAGTGTCTTTGCTTTATTTGTTTAATTAAAACCAAGGCAAGTAGGGCGGCCCAGGGGGCCCAGCCATCGGGAGCCGGCACCCTCCACAAAGTGATTCCCTGGGGAAGCCCAGTGGCCAAGCAGGACCACGGGACAGCCGGGTGAGTGTCCCCTGCACCGCGCTTCGGGCTCCTCCCCTCTCCCCTTTTCCCTCCTCCTCCTCATCCCACCGGGATGCGCGGTGATCCCGTGGGGGCTGCCCCAACCCCAGCCCACCAAACCCTCTCCTCCACCTTTCCACACCCAGGTCTCGGGCTTTCCTGGCAGCAGGACCACCCTGGAGGACTCGGCCACACCGGGGCCCCTCCTCTGGTCCCCCCCGGGGTCACTCCCCGCCATCCCCGGGGCAAAACATCTCCCGTGCGGCGCCTTTTTAGCCGCGGAGGGTCCCCGCGCTCCGGACGAGCCTCATCCCTCGCTGCCAAGGGCAGCCTGGCCACCTGGGCGCCCATTTTCCCCCGGTGAAGATATGGCCCCTTCCTCCTTCTCGTTCTCCTCCTCCTCCTCGCGGGACGGGGCTCCGGGAGGCAGGAGCCAGCTCCATAAGGATGCATCCGCCCGGGAATCCACCATGGTGTCGGCACCCAGGTGAGTGCCCCCAGCTCTCGGCCCAGCCCCGGCGCAGGAGGGTCTCAGCAGTGGGGGGAGAGGCACTGGGGGGGCTGCGGGACCAGCCCGGGGCCTGTCGGATGCCCACGGGGGAGAGCAGTGGTGAGCGCACGGGCGATGCTGGGGCGAGCAAGCTGGTTGGAATAAAGGATTGCTAAAGACACCGACCCGGTGGGCTTCTTTCCGCTGCCAACTCTCCTCTGCTCTTGTCTCGCCCGCCCAGGCTCCCTCCCTCCCCCGGTGCTGGAGCTGCTCTGAGCCCAGAAGCCCCTTCCCATCCCCAAACGGGCCTTCCCGCCTCGCTTCCTCCCTCAGACGTAGGAGACTGTCAGGTTACGGCCTCCGGGGGGGGCTGGGGCAGGGCCCCCCTCGCTGCTGGCTCCAGGAGGGATGCTCCTGTCTGGCACAGTGGGATGCTGGGGGGGCTGGTGCCGCTTGCTGCTGGTTCCCACTCCCCGAACCACCACCCCGTGGGGAGGGGGAGTGAGGGGGAAAAAATGGGACGTGGAGCATCTCGGGGAGCGGGGGGTGCTGAGACACTGGCGACAGGAACCTCGGGAAGGTGGTGGGATGGGAGGTCAGCTCATCCAGCAGGGGGTGATCCCAAACCCCTCCACTGCCATTCCCAGTCTGGACACCCCTAGGAACCCACGCAAAGCCCACCCTCATCCTCCCAGAGCCAAGCCCCGTGCCTCCTCCTCCTCCTCCTCCTCTTCCTCCCCGCAGAGCCGCTCGCCCCGGGCTGCCGAGGGGGCTCCCGGGGTGTCCCCCTCGCTGCTGCTTCCCCGGCTGCCGCTCCGCATGTCCCCCCCCCGCCTCGCCCCCGCCACCCCCGCGCCCCCATCGCTCCCCCCCTTCTCTCCCTCTCTCTTTGCAGAGAAGAAGCAGCAGCTGCAGCCCCCGAAATCTCGCCCGCCCGGCCTGAAGTTCCGCCTGCAGAAGCGGCTGCGGGGCCCGTCCTGAGCCGCTCCCTCCTCTCCATCTCTCTCAGGAACTCCGCGGCCCCGGAGCCGTGCGGGAGCACGGCGGGACCGAGCCGAGCCGTGCCGCCGGCCCCCCGGCAGCCTTTTGCTTGACAGAACTGGTTGTTGACCTTATTTTTAATTTTTTTTTTTACTTTTTTTTAATTTTTTTTTTTTTTTAATTTCCAAGCACCCCATCCCCTTGGGTTTTTTTTGTCGTTTACCAGCTGACCTTGTTTTGTTTTTTTTTTTCTTCCCCCCACCCCACCCTTCCGATTTTTACCGTGTCTGTGACATCTCCTGTCGATGAGTAAAGAGGGACCTCCCGCGTCCTGGTCTTTTCTTGTGCACCTTTGGTTGTCACTGTGTGTTTTTCTGCCTCCCCCCTCACCCCGTCCATCCCGGCAGCAGGTAATGGTGGCACCCATGGGTGAGCCCACGGGAGAGGAGGACCCATCCCGTCCCTGGATGGGGCTGGATTTGGGAGCAGGACGCTGGAGCTCTGCTTGCTGCTGGCCGTGGGCGCTTGCTTGGCTGGGTGCTCGGCGGAGGGCGTGGGGCTGGGGGGCCGGGGCGCAGTGCCAGGCTGGAATACCCCACTCCAGGGTTTTCCCACCCCGCTCAGTGATGCCTCTGCTCTCTCCCAGACAAGGATGAGTGCTCCAAGAACAACGGGGGCTGCCAGCACGAGTGCCTCAACTCCTTCGGCAGCTACGAGTGCCAGTGCCGCAGCGGCTTCGTGCTGCACGACAACAAGCACGACTGCAAGGAAGGTGGGTCCATCCCACACCCCGTCCCTGTGGGACACCCCCAGTCCATGCATCTGTGACCCTTTCCGTTGTCCTGCCAGCCGGCTGTGACCACAAGGTGACATCCATCTCCGGGACCATCACCAGCCCCAACTGGCCCGACAAATACCCCAGTAAGAAGGAGTGTACCTGGGCCATCAGCACCACGCCGGGGCACCGCGTCAAGCTGGTAGGGACTGGGGGGTGGGAAGTGCTGGGGTGCCCTCCACCGAGCCCCACTGAGCGCCGACAACTCCATCCATCACCTTCCACAGACCTTCTCGGAGCTGGACGTGGAGGCGCAGCAGGAATGTGCCTACGACCACCTGGAGATCTACGACGGGAAGGACGCCAAGGCCCCGGCGCTCGGCCGCTTCTGCGGGGCCAAGGAGCCCGAGCCCATCGTCTCCTCGGGCAACAAGATGTTCCTCAAGTTTGTCTCCGATAACTCCGTCCAGAAGAAGGGATTCGAGGCCACGCACACCACAGGTAGCGCCGTGGGGCTGGGAAACGTGGCCGTGGGGCGTGGGGAGAGCGTGGCTGCCCCTAAACCCCGGCTTCTCCCCCAGTGTGCGGGGGCCAGGTCCGCGCCGAGGTGAAGACCAAGGACTTGTATTCCCATGCACAATTCGGGGACAACAACTACCCGGGGGGCTCGGACTGCGAGTGGGTGATCATGGCAGAGGAGGGGTTCGGCGTGGAGCTCATCTTCCAGACCTTTGAGATCGAGGAGGAAGCCGACTGCGGATATGACTACATGGAGCTCTTCGATGGCTACGATGGGACGGCCCCGCGCCTCGGCCGCTTCTGCGGCTCTGGGGTGAGCTGGGGAGGAAGGGGCACGTGGCGTGGGGTTGGATTAGCGTTAGGGTTGGGATTAGGGAAGGTTAGGGCGGTGTGAGGGTGCAGGGTGATGGGTGAGGCCGAGCCAGAGCAGCGCGGAGAAATCCCCGTCGGAATTCAGGATGGTGCAATGATTTACACCCTCCCCATTGCAAACCCCTTCCCTCCCACCGTGCCCACGCATCCTGGGAATGCCCACGGATCTGAGCAACCCTTCCTTTGCCCCTGCAGCCCCCTGAGGAGATCTACTCGGCTGGAGACTCTGTGATGATCCGCTTCCACTCGGACGACACCATCAACAAGAAGGGTTTCCACCTTCGCTACACCAGCACCAAGTTCCAGGACACGCTGCACACGAGGAAATGAGGGCCGGGGGTCCCGGCCCCCCCCGCGGGCAGGGGAGGAGGAGGAGGAGGAGGAGGGCAGGGAGGAAGGCGGGGAGCGCTGCTGCCCTGCACAGACTGCACGGAGGAGGAGCACACAGCCAACCTCAGCACTCAAGACACGCTCGCACGGGGCGCCGGGGCTCAGGCGCCCACGGCACGGGGGGCACTGGGGGGGTCCCCACTGGCAACCACCCACCCTGGTGCTGGGGGGGGCCGAGCGGGACCCGCTGCCCTTCCCTGCCCCGGCCGAAGCTCTGAATGTACAAACCAGTAACCGGGAAGAGCCCAAAACACACACAAGGTGCTGTCTCTCTCTTGTACCCATGAAATAAATACCCTTGTACTTGGAGCGGGGCAGCCCCAGCCTCTTTGCTTCCACCCCAGGAAAACGGCATCCAAAAAAAGGGGCTGAAATAGCAGGGGGAGAGCCCCCAGCACCCTGCATGGACCCCCATCCTCGGGGTGGACCCCCATGCTCAGGGCTCTGATGGAGCAGAGCCAGCAACCCTAAAGGAGCAGCCGGACCGTGTCCCAGGGATGGTGGGATCACCGTGAGGGGTGATGGGGTCTGTCAGAGCCCCCAATCCCCCGGGACTCTGCAGGTGGATGCTCCTCCCCACACAGACACACCGTATCTCACCCCCCCCAGCAGCACCCCGGTGTGGGTGGGTGGGTGCCACGTGCCGTGCCCACGGTGTGCCGTGCCCACCGCGTGCTCCCTCCGGCGCGTCCCTGTGCCGGTGGCAGATGGCGGGTGGGCTGTGACACGGCCCCCGCGCCCACCGCGTGCTCCCTCGTGCCTCCCCTCCATCCTGAGCTCTCTGCCGGCGCAGAGTGTGTGTGTGAGGGTGTCAGGATGGGGCTGGGATGCTCTGGAGTGGCTGTTTCCAGGAGGAAGGGCGGCGGGCGCCGGGGCTTTGCATCCAGAGGGGTTTTCAGTCCCGAGATGGAAAGAGGGCACCGAATTCGGGGAGCGTTTCAGCCTTTCAGTGACAGGACAAGGAGTGATGGCCCATAAACTTAACCACAAATATCTCTCCAAGGGATGCCAGAGGATGGTGCCAGACTCTTCCCAGTGGTGCCCAGCGATGGGACAAGGCCACAAACTGAACCACAACGTGAGGAAGAATTTCTTTCCCTTGAGGGTGGCAGAGCTCTGGAACAGCTGCCCAAGGAGGGGGTGGAGTCTCCCTCTCTGGAGACATTCCAAACCCACCCGGATGTGCCCCCACCTGCTCTGGGTGACCCCGCCTGTGCAGGAGGGGTTGGACTGGATGATCTCCTTCCATCCCAAACTTTCCTGTGGAACTGCGAGCTGGCAAGGGCAGGACGGTTATCCATGGCCGCCTCAGCACCTTGTCCCCTCCCAGTCCCATCCCTCCTTTCCCTGAGCTGGACTTTATGGGGGGTCTGGAGCCACTGCCCGGGGTCCTGGCGGGGGACAGAGGCGCGTGACACGGCCGGTGGCGACCGCACAGAGATTTATTGAAACACCTCCAGCACAGCACAGGGATGCTCGGGGGGGACGGGGGGAGTTGTTGTTCTACAGCGTGCAGGGGGTACACAGAGACGGGGAGGGTGGGCACCCCGCGGGGGGAAGAGGGGTGGGCGCCCCGGGGGGGGCCGCACGCAAGCGCCATGCTGCCGACGGCTCATGCGGGGGGCGGCGGGGTGGGGGGGCACGGGGTGGGGGGCTCAGCTCCACTCCCCTATTCCCCAGCTCCTCCGGCTGCCTCCGGGGCCACGGTTTGGGCAGCACAGGGTGGCAGAGCAGAGAGGGACAGCACGAGGGGTCCCCCACACCGCTGCGGCCCCCGGGAGAGGGGGGGGAGGCCCTGTCTGAGCACTGCGCTGTCCCCAGGAGCAGCCCAAAACCGGGGGTGCTTCCAGCCTCTCCACTGAACCCCCTGGGGTGGCCAGGGAGCCCCAGTCCCGGTTGGCAGGACCGGAGCTCCCCGGGAGCTGCACAAACCCAGGGTCGGGGGGATGCAGGGGACACCGGAGGGGAAGGGGGTCCCGCAGCGGCTGCGCGGAGAAGGGCAGAGCGCGGGGCTCACGCCAGCGAGGGTGATGCCGGTCGGCCAGTCCAGGAGATGAAGGCTTCTTCCCTCGGGGCGCAGAGCAGCGTGGTGGGCTCCGCCTCCCTGCCGGGCGAGCATCCCGCCGGCTCCTTCCTCGTGCCCACCCGCGTCCTCCGCCCACCAGTGTCCGTGGGAGAAGCCCCCGGGGCAGGCGCCCGTCCCCCTGCCCGGCCCTGCCCTCCTCCTCCTCCTCCCCCCTTTAACGCCCCACGCTGATGTTGCACGTCTTGCAGCTGGGGTCCTTTTTGGCGTTGGCGGTGGAGAGGCTCATGAGCTGGTGGCCGCTGATCTCCCCCAGCACGCCCAGGGCGAGGTCCACGGGCTCCGTGTATATGACCTCCAGGATGCTGTCCTGGGCATGGCGGTACACCAGCTCGCCCTCCTCCACGCAGCACGTCAGGAACTTGTTGGAGGAAATGTCCAGCTGGGGGAGGCGCTCCCGGCAGAAGAGATCCCCGGAGGAGCCCTTGGGCGCCAGGACCAGCACGACGTAGTGGTAGGCGGTGTACATGCAGTAGAAGTCCGCGAAGTAGAGGTTGGTGTTGGGGTTGAAGAGGCGCTGGGCCGGGATTTGGAAGCGGTACCGGCCGTAGGGCGAGTCCTGGGGGGGCTGCCCGGTGTTGAACTCGGTGTTGCAGCTGAAGAAGATGCCGTGCAGCATCCCGCTGGTGGGGGAGCCGTGGCTCCCGCTGTTGTCCTTCAGCGACGGCTTCATCACGTTCCCGCAGTGCATCCTGGCGCAAGGAGGAGGAGGAGGAAGAGGAGGAGGAGGAGGGACACACAGACAGGCACAGGCAGGGTCAGGGGGCGCACCCTGGGAGTGGGGGAGTGGGGAATGGGGTCTGGGGGTACCTGACGTGCTGGAAATACTCCTTGTGCTGGTTGCGGTAGAAGACGGAGAAGCGCAGCATGCGGCCGGCGATCAGCTCTGCCTTCTCCTGCAGCTGGGCCAGGTGCTCCTTGGCATAGTCTGGGGGCAGCGATGGGGACATCAGGGCGTCTCCATCCCCCTCCGGCAGCCCTTCCCTGCCCGCAGCTCCCCGCACCTCCCGCCTCCCACTCATCAGCTGCCGCTCCAACCGGCCCGGCTTGTGCCAGCTCCCGGCATCGCCCCCGTCCTCCTCCGGGCTCCTGCATCCCGGCGTTGCCCCCGTCCTCCTCCTGCCTCCCAGCTCCCAGCATCAACCCCATCCTCTTCCCAGCTCCAGGCTCTCTGTATTGACCCCACTCTCCTCCGAGCTCCCAGTTCCCAGGATTGTCCCTGTCCTCCCTCTCGGTTCCTGACCCCCAGCATTGACCCCATCCTCTCTCCCAGCTCTTGGGAAGGCCCCCATCCTCTGTCCTGGCTCCCAGCTCCAGGCATTAATCCCCTCCTCTCTCCTGGCTCCCAGCATTGCTCCCTTACTCCCTCCTCGCTGCTGGCTCCCAGCATTGCCCCCATCCTCCTCCCAGCTCCCAGCGTCGTCCCCGTCCTCCTCATCTTCCCAATTCCGAGCCTCCCCCGTCCTCCCTCCTGGCTCCCGGCTCCCGGAATTGCTCCCGTTCTCCTCCTAGCTCCTGGCTCCTGGGATCGCCCCCATCCTCCCTCCTGGCTCCTGGGATCGCCCCCATCCTCTCCCAGCTCCCGGGTGGCCCCCATCCTCCGCCCAGCTCCGGGCATTGCCTGCGTCCTCCTCCTCCTCCTCCCAGCTCCCAGCACTGTCCCCGTTCTCCTCCTGGCTCCCGGGAGTTCCCCCATCCTCCCTCCCGGCTCCGGGGATCGCCCCCATCCTCCCTCCCGGCCGCGGGCCGCCCGTGTCCCGCTCACCCCCGGTGCAGAACTCCACGGTTTCGCTCCAGCCGGACACCAGGTACTCCCCGTCGCTCTGTTTGACGGCCGTTTGCACGGCCACGCTGTACTCGGTGCGGGGGCTCAGGAACCAGTGCCCCCGCACCGTCATGGGCAGCGGCACCGCCTTGGCCACCAGCTTGGTGGGGACATCCTGTGCCGGGGGGCGAGGGTCAGGCGGGACAGCATCGCACCGCCCCAAACCCCCCCCCCCGCCGCGCCCGGGGGATGGTGCCAGGGACCGAACCCCCCCCAAACATCCACCTCGGGGCACCCAAAACACCGCGCTGACACATCTCCTGCTGCCCCCCCAGCTCTGTCCCTCCCTCCCCGTCCCCACACAGCGATGGGGGCGCAGGGTCCCCCCCACGGAGGGCGGGGGTCTCGGGGACCCCCCCGCTCCCGGTGGCATCTCGCGGTGTCAATAGGCCAGGGAGCAGCTCCGCAGTGCAGAGCCGTTTCTGTGGCAACGGCGGATGCTGAAGTCGGGAGATAGAGGGGGAAAGAAAATATCCCACCCCCCCCCCCCCCCCCCTATTATTGGGGGGGGGAGAAAAAAAATAATGTTAAACATTAAATAGCATCACCGTGGCAACGGCGCTGCTAAAAACGGCCCCGAATTAGTGACTCGCAGCACGGGGAGGGGGAGTGGGAGAGGTTCGTGGCTCTGCTCCCCCGCGGAGGCTTGGGAAGGGGGTCCGTCACCCCCTGATCCCCATCCCAGTACCCTCCACCAGCGTGTCCAGAGTGGGGAATGACCCCAATCAGCGTAGGAATGGGTTAAAAGCCAGTTCGCCCTCACCAACCTCATCTCCTCACCCTGGACAGGGGGTCCCAGGTCCCCCCCCCCCCCGCTCCGGGCTCACCCGGTGCTTGAACTTGTTGGAATTCTTGTTCTCCTTCTTGTTGAGGTCGATGAAGTAGTGAGTGACCCTCTCCAGGTCCCCCTTCTCCATGGCCCAGGAGATGCGGAAGGAGTCGCAGGTGATGTTGTTGATCTCGATGTTCTTGGGGGTGGAGAGCAGCTCCATGGCCGGAGGGGCTGAGCTCCTGCGGGCACGGCGCGGGTTTTGGGGGGGTGCCGAGCAGCCCCCCGAGCTGCCCACGTCGGCAGCTGCCGGGGCCGCTCCCCCCGCGGCGGAGCAGATGGCACCGGGGGGGTGGAAAAGCGGCCGGCAGCCAGGAATAGGCAGCGCGCAGGCAGGAGCAGGCAGCGGGACGCCGGGGAACAAGCCCGGTCGGGTGCGGGGGCCCCGGCCGCTCCCCCGGGTGCCGCGGGGCCCCGGCGCGACGCCAGCGGGTGTTTCGGGGTTTGCTCAACACCCGGGGTGGGGAAAGAAAAACAAGGGGAGCCGAGGGAGTGCTGGGAGAGAGGGGAGGGTTGGACGCGGGCACTGGAAAAGCTGGATCCGCCTTTCTGCCCTGGCCCGTGCCTCAGTTTCCCCCCCCCCCTCGCCGCCCCCCCCCCCCCCTAGGGAGCCGCTCTGGGGGGGTGGGGGACACGCGGTGACACCCGTGACGCGGGAAGGGGGTGATGCGCAGAGGGGGTTGAGGGGGTGGGTGCCCCCCACCCTGCGCCCCGGTACCCCCGGATTGGTGCGGGGGCAGCCGTGCCCGATGTAACCCAGAGCCCCCCGCTCCCCGCGTGCCCACGGCCACCCACGCCGGGCTCATCCGTGAGTGTCCCTGTCACTCGGCCACCCACGGCCACCCACGGCCACCCAGCGTCCCCCCCCCTCCCCATCTGCGCAGAGCCGGGGGTCACCCCCAGCCCCACTCAACACCCCCAAGCCACCCCAAGCAGGGTGTCACCCAAAAAATCCGCTCCTCCGCCAAACCCTCGGGCACGGCAGAAGGTCACCGCGCTGGGGACAAGGTGCCACCTCGCTGCCCCATTCCCGTGCCCGGTGGTGGCGCAGGAATTCCGCACCGGGATTGCTCCAGCCGGATCGTGTCACCGTGTCCCCGTGTCCCCAACACCCCGCGCCCCTTCAAAAAACCCTCAGCAAGCCTTCCATGCCCCCACGCCCCACCTGCCCCCCATATCCCTGTGCCCCCCGGGCATCCCTCAGCGATGCCATTGGGATGTTGTCCCGACGCCACCGGGATCTGGCGGCTGCTCCGAGTGTCCCGGTGCCGGTGGGGCCCTTACCTGGCCGTGCCGGGGGGCTGCCGGGACGCGGTGGGATGCCGGTGGAGCGGCAGGGTGGGAGAATGGAAGGGGCGGCAGGACAGGGAGCCCCGGCGGGGCTGATCCAGGCGGGAAGGACGGAGGATGCCGGTGGGATCGCGGTGGTACCCGGCGGTGTCGCGTCGCTGCCTGCGGCTGATGCGACTGGGATCCTCCCAGCCAGCTCGGAAATAGCAAACACCCTCCAGAGGAGGGAGAGAAGAGGGGGGAAAAAAAAAAAAAAAGGGAAAAATAGATATCCAAGGAGCTGGGAGAAAAAGGGGGAGGAAGGAAAAGCCTCCCGGTTCTGCCAATGGGATGGAGGGACGCGTGCGGCGTCAGGTGATGGAGGCAGAGCGGGATGTGGGTGCACATTGGGGGTGGGTGGTGGGCAGGTTCTGCCTGTACCCTCCCGCTTTTGGGGCTGGGGGATGCGGGGGGTGTCCCGGTTGTGCCGCACCCCCCCATCCATCCCCAAAAATGTGATGGATGAGGTGTGCGGGGATGTTGGAACCCACTCGGGACCCCCGTGGGAAAGGGGGTGCAAAGCCCGAGGGGTGTGTGTGGTGTTTTGCACTTAGTGAACACGCTTTTTGGGGGACACACGCTTTTCGGAGTGGGGGCGAGCACCCCAAGAAACTCATCGTCCTCCCAAATTTCTCAGTGGGGGGTGCCCACCTCGAAGGGGGCAGGTGGCTGGGAGGCTCTAGAGAACTCTGAGGAAGTGGCTGCACCCCAGGAAGGTGCACGGGGTGTTAAATGACTGGGTGAGTGACCCCTCCCCACCCCCAAAAAAGACATCCCCCCTGCGCTGCCCCCCGTCTGCGGTCCCGAGAACTGGGCGCTGCCCGCCACAAAGATGGCGCCGCCGGCGTCACGCTGGGTCGGGCAACGCCAACCACAAAGATGGCGGCTCGCTGGCAGGGCCCGTGCGCCCTCAACAAACATGGCGGTAGCGGCGTCGCCCCGGGGAAGGGCGCGTCGTGCGCCGCGCATGCGCGGTGGAGGGCGGCGAGCCCGTGGCTGCCCGGGCAGGGTAAGGGGCGGCATGGCGGGGGGGGGGGGGGGGGG